CAACAAAATTACAACAACAAATTCAGAGAAGCTGTGAGGCAAATCAAAGGTAAAAATAACAGTGTCAAAGAAGGGTAAAATATAGGAACAGAGATCCAGGTGGTGAGGAGGTCAGGTAGATTGCAGGATACAATGTTATTGTTGTTAAGTGCCATTGAGTCGATTCTGACCCATAGCGACCCTGTATAGGGTTTCCAAAAAGGAGCTGGTGACCTCGCAGGCACTATTTTATATTTTTAAAATAGAAAATACTCATTGACCACCCAAAACACTCCATACAGTTTCACTTCTCTTGAAAGAAGCAATTAACAAAACAAATCTGGCCTATGGCTGCAGGTTTAAATGGGTTCCTCCAGGAGATGAGAGCTTGGTACAACCATGTAACTCTCACTTTTGTTTTTGAACAACAGACAGTATGTGAGGAAGCAATAATTACCATAGCTGTGGTGTGCTTGACTGGTTTAGGCTTGGAAGGGGTCTTTAGGACTGATGACTCTTTAGAGTTAACTTTTGTGACAAAGACTTTCTAAATGCCAAAGGAATCGACCTTTCAATAAAAGTAAAGAATATCACCAACCTGCTTTCTGAAAATTCTGAAAAATCATCCTGCAGTTCAAACTTGTGCAGAACTTCTCCAATTAGGTAACCACTGGAAAATGTCTTTGCAAATGATTTGGGACCTGAGTTTTAAAACAATGAGATAGAAAAGTAAATATAATGTTGCATACAGGACTTATATATGTATATACTTGCAATTTATGTAAGTATGTGCAAAAATCAAAACTTTGTGTTTTAACTTGAGCTCAAATAACATAAAAATACTTCAAAAACAACTTATTTTAATAGTAAAAATAAAAAGATTGAAGTTTAACAGTAAGCACCTTATAAAGACTCAAAAGTGATATAAACCGATACTTGATAATATGAAATTTTTGATCAAAGTAAACCAAACATAGCTGGTAAAACTTACAAATAACTTTAGACCTAAAATCACAGCCTCAAGATGGTTTGCAGAATTATACTCTCAAAGTTTAGTTACCCGTGCAGTTTATGACTGATAACAGAATATTCTGAGCAAGTGAAACCAATCTATTTAATCGTTAAGACTGAATTTTAACCTTTTACAAAATCTGCACTTTCGTAAACAAAGTCGACTGAATGTAATCAAGCTTTCCCTTAGTGATCCAAAGGTGTATTGTGGTCCACTTGTAAAGTCTTATGTGGTGACAGGAATGACCTAGAGCAGGGGTAGGGAACGTCCTGCCCACCTGAAATCATTTGGTCTGGTCTTGCCAAGTCAACCACATTCCAGACCTCATGTCATATTGTTGTCGTTGCTGTTGCTAAGTGCCATCGAGTCAGTTCCTACTCATAATGAGCCTATATAGAGTGTCTGAGGAGCAGCTGGTGGGTTTGAACCGCCGACCTTGCAGATCAAATTCACCTCGCAGTCCAGTGTTAGTTACATGCTTGATCAAATATAGCAGGCTAATTTTTAAATTGATAATTTTATATGGTCCATGTATGATGTTATGAATTTTGAGAGAAAAAAAGGTTCCCTACCCCTGGCCTAGAGGAGAAGTCACAGGTTTTGAAGCCAGAAAGTTCTGGGTTAGAATCTTGACTCTGTCTCTTACTAGCTTTGCAAACCCAGGCAACCTCTTTCTAGAAGTATCTGTCAGGGGAGCGAATTCACAGGTTGGAAGTAATATCTAATTCTTGTTTGTGACCATACCTGCACAATACTAAGCACATATAGTAAGAGTGGAAAAATGGGGAAAGTTTTTAATAGAATTTTATTTCTTAAAGTCTTTGATGCCTTCGTAGTTTTGGAACACACACACATATATTTGCAGTGATGGATATACAGTTCCATGACATTCAAAGGCCCTATAATTATGAATTTACACAAAATAAATTACTTCATCACTGGTCAAAGTATCACCTTTCAAATTATTTCAAAATCCTCTGGAAATCTTCAATATATTTCTATTGGGTCCTTTAAGCAAACAGTCAAAACCATGTATGGAGAGATCACAACCTTGATCATAACAGATTCTCCTTTAAAAAAAATTTTTTTTTTTTTTAACAAAGGAGCCTAGTTGGCACAATGGCTAAGTGCTCCACTGCTAAAATTCTGAACTCACTAGGGGGTTCTGCTAGAGAAAGAGCTGGCAGTCTTGCCCTCAGAATTCTTTTGCTTTGTTGTTGCTGTTAAGTCAGGTCCAACTCATAGCAACCTTGTATAATGTTTCCAAGAACCCACCGGTGATTGTGAACTCTGACCTTGCAGTCCAATGCTTGTCCTTCAGTTACAGCCCAGAAAATCCCACGGGACAGTTATACTCTGTCATATGGGGTCAAAAATCAAATCAATGGTTCCATAAGCACTGGACTGCAAACTACAAGGTCTATGGTTGAAGCCCGCTAGCTGTTCCACAGGAGAAAGATGAGGCTTTCTGCTGCCGCAAAGAGGTAAAGCCTCTGAAACCCTATACAGAGACCCTATGGAACTGATTTGATGGCACTTAATAACAACAAGAAGAAGTTGGCTAACTAAATACACAGAGCAGCAGTTGTACTTGGTTGAGTGGTTGCTGGGCAGGAAAGGTAGGTGGCTCTGGAGAGCAGCGTGTAGAGCTCTCACTCGGAAGGTCACATATTATTATGAGAAAAAGAGTTATTGTGTATTTAACACCAGTCCACATTTTCATTCAACCTTGAGGACATTATGCTGAGTGAAATTAGTCACAAAAGAACAAATATTGCATAAGACCATTATTGTAAAAGCTTAAGAAATGATACTCATACTAAAAGATTAAAAAAAAAAAAAAAAAAGAAATTTTTGTTGGTTACAGGGGTGGGAGGGAGAGGACAATAGAGCACAGGTTAGGGGGACAGACACATAGTTCTGTGTTGGGGAAGGAGATATACAAGGAAAGGATGGGCAATATACAAGGGCAAGGGGGATGGAAGAACAAGGTACATAGGGGAACATTTAGGTAGGTTTACATGGGCTAAATGGGACAGAGGTAAACAGGGATGTATGCTCAACCTTGGAACAACAGGGCTCTCTGTGATACAGGGATCAAGGTATAGTCTGAATGGATGAAAGAGGGGAAATAATGTTAACATGCTTGACTGTCTTATGAATATTGGTTTCCCTTGCCAACGACTGTAAAATAGACCCTTGAGTGTGATAGAAAGGAATATCGGGAAACATGATTATGGAAAGTTGTAAGCCCATCTTTAGCCTATAACTAATTGGAATACCAAAAAGGGGTTCTAGAAGTTGCCCAGTAAAATAGGCTTCGTGAACCTTCTGAGGTGGAACATTCCCACTTGAAATGACATATAGACCAGCCAGGAGCAACTATCCTCAACAGAAGATACTTCCTGAAAGAAAGACAAGTAGGACAAAACAAAAACACCAGTCTGTTTGGCTATTACATGACTAAGCAAGTGATTCACAGATGAGTGGTGGATCATGCTTAGTAGAGGGTCAGAAAAAGAGCGGAAGATCTTTAACAAGATGGATTGGCACAGTGGTTACAACAATGGACTCAAACATAGAAACAATTGTGAGAACAGTATGGGACCAAGCATAATTTCCTTCTGTTGCAGACAGAGTCACTATGTGTCAGAAAAAACTAGATGGCAGCTAACAGCAACCTTTGTTATTGTTGTTGTAAAGTGCCATCAAGTTGGTTCTGACTTGTATAGGGTTTCCAAGGAGCAGCTGGTGATCCTGAACTGCCGACCTTGCGGTTCAAACCGACCTTGCAGTCCAGTGCATTAATGCGCAGTATGAAACAATAGTGGTTTAATGGTAGTATTCTCTCCCTCCATGTGGGATGCCAAGGCAAAACCACCACTAGCCTATTAAAGTAGACTTGTGTATTGCTAAGACGTCAAACAGGTTTCTGTAGCACTTCCAGGTTCACAGGGACAAGGAGAAAAATCTGAAAATCGGCTTCTGAAAATCAGCTAATAAATACCTATGGATCACACTGGTCCTGTGAATGGCACAGACCCACAGTGCTTTGTTCTATTTTGAATGGGATCATCATGAGCCAGAGCCCAACTTGAAGTCAGCTAACTATAATAACAACAACAACATGAATACAAAGGTCATAGAAGGACAACCAGCTATGTAATTCATTGCCAGGATAGGTTACAATAAATAAGAAAATAGAAAACATCTGCTGCTTTTAATGACTAGGGCACTTCAAATTTACTGTGTGGTATCTCTGAAGAAAAGAAAACAACGAGGGAACAACTATAGCAAATGGCAAAAGCAGGAAAGGCTAAGCATGGGGATAAATAATAGGAGGAATTGGGAAAAGAATACAAGCAAAAAATCCAACAAAGCATGAAGCAGACGAAGTAAACGTATGTAAGATAGGAATGTCTAGAGACAAAAGTAATAATATGAGAAGACAGGTAAGAAGCTAGAGAGACACACAGAGAGAAAGAGAAAGAGAGGTAGGAAGGGGTTGGGGGATAGAGAGAAAAAAAGTAGGGAAAAAGAAAGCAGAAAGGCATGTTTCCGCCTTTGGTTTATCATCTTTTTCTTCCCCCTAACTGATGCTGAATACCATGGCTAATTTCATAATGGCGACCTCTAAGTTAATTTTCAATAAACAATTGCAATTTCCTTTGGGGATGAAGAAGCAAGTTCACTCTAGGACAAGGAATAATGAACGGATATAAGAAATAACTGAACTGTGGGAGCCCACTGATGAACCTCATTCTGCACCTAAAGTAATCTATCTACATGTGGGACTGAGGCTGTCAACAACCCAACTATTTCTCCAGACTTCCAAGCCACATTTCTGATACCCAATCCTTAAAGCTTTCTTTTGCTAAAATCTTGGACAGGGTCAGTATTAGGCTGAGTTGTTAAGTGTCATTGAGTTGTTCCAACTTATAGCAATTCTGTGTAGAGTTTCCGAGGCCTTTTTAAATCTTTGCGAAGGCAGAGAGCCTTATCTTTCTCCCACGGAGTGGCTGGTAGGCTCAAACCACCAATCTTGTGGTTTGTCCAGTGCTTATATGATGGAGCCACCATACTCCTATTAGGCTGAGAGAGAATGTGAAATGGATGAAAGTGTTTTTCCATCAAAGGGGTCCAGAGTCAGCTGTAAAAAGCATATACAGGAGATTGTTGTTGTTGTTGAGCAGCATCAAGTTGGTTCCAACTTATAGGGAGGGGGTACCAAGGAGGGCATGGGCTCCAGAAAAGATTATCTGGGCTTGAATCCCTGTTCTTTTAGAAGACTCTGGAACATGGGCAATATGACAGCCACACTTTCTCATTTGTAAAAGAGGGTGATAGGTTCTGTCTCATAAAAATTGTTTGGTAAATTGAATTAGATATTACATGCTTAGTATAATGCCTAGCATATACCCTAAGTGTTCTGTGACCATTTTTATTGTTATTACCAGTTGGAATCAAGTCAACTCTGCCTCATGTCAACCCCATGTGTTTCAAAATAGAACTGTGCTCCACAGAGCTTTCAATGGCTGATTTTCAAAAGTCAATCCCCAGGGCTTTTTTCTGTATCCCAGTGGGTTTGAACCTGCAACCTTTAGGGTAGCAACCATTTGTATCACCTGTTGTTAGGCACCATCGAATTGGTTCCGACTCATAGCGATCCTATGCATATAATAATGGTCC